AACCTCCTCCCAACCACTCATATTTTGGGCAGTTTTTGTGAAATTGGTGAGGGGTATACAAGGAGGTGTTATGGAGTACTTTCATTTTAATAGAAGAGCGTAGTGACAGTGAATATGCGAGATGAACGTGGCATTGTGTTGAGTAATTCCATGGGAGAAGGTGGCCTATCCAATTATTCATTAAAAAGGCTTACTAAGGAACGATATTGAAGTGGCTAGTGCGAAAACGGTTTTAAGATCTCATAACAGTCTGGTAGACAACTGATTTTACAAGGTTTATCCACGTGCTTTCGAAAGTAACTACGCAGAGCTGAACCGAGTACCTGTGAAATGTGCAGAAACATCCCACCATTGTCTGTCAGTACAAATCGGTCATCCGCGGTCAAGTTTGAAGTTAGCTAAGGAGAAACGGAACACACGGTACCTTTGCGATGGAAAACACTGGATTGGATTTCTGACGTACATCTTATGTAGGTCGCAGCACGTGAAGACCTTTTGGTATTGGTTGGAAGAAGGATTTTGTGCCAGTTTCCCTCCTCTCCTTGCGGATAAATTAAGAGTAACTGGGTTAACAAAAACTCCTTATGGAGCCATCACAAAGCGATGTCGCCTAGAGAGTGAATATTCTTCAAGTGAAGCATAAAGATATAATGCAAGTGGTGGAATTATTGCAGAGGATTTTCTGGACCTACGGTAGGACCACATGGATGTGGGAGCAATGTGGTGGCAGCTTGGCACGCATTTCAGTCCGGAAGTTAAATACGGATCCAAATTGCAGTGTCATAATACTTTAGGAGACAAGCGGTATGTGAGTTGAAGGTTTAGGCGACCAACGTACAAGTTTTCAAACAAGGCTATCACGCAGTTTCATGGACAAGATTATTCCTTTATCCTTGGCTCTCTTTTACTAAATAAGGAAAAGATCCACCAATTGAGTTTGGAGAGCAAGGGGCGGTGGACAAATGTAAAAACGCTCTTAAGGACATAGGCATATGGAGCAATGATTTGGTAGTTTTACCCGCCAGTTAATTCTTAATATATGGTAATGAAATGAGCCGGATTACTTTGCATGATTAGTTTTCAAGTCCTGATCACAGGGCTATCGTGTCAAACGCTCAAGCAACGTGACAGATGCATAATTCATACGTAATATGTGGTCTCTCAGACGATGATTATGGTGGTGGTGTTCGGTATGCTCAACTTTTTAAGGTCACGTTCGCAGCTAAAACTTGCATCCGGTTTGCTGTCCTTTAAGTATATAATTTGTCCGTAGTCACTTGCATCGCATCCAGAATTGAAAAAGTGCTATGAGAAAATCGAGAGAAAATAAAATTACACCTTATCAGACGTCTTACCCTAGTTCTTTCAAAGATTATCGAAACCGCATTCCCGAACGGCAAATCTTGCCTCACACCGAGCGATGATGGCGCCACTCGAGTGGATACCGAAAGCCAAATCCAACAACAGCAGATTCCGCATCGCCTTTGACATTTTGCTACTGTCTCAGCCAGACTAATGAACATGTTCAAATTACGCCTAGTAATGAAGGCACACACCTACTGCACCTTTGGCAGAAGCACTAAATGAGCACCCACGACCAAGTAGGGTTAAGACCTCATGGTGTGGTGATACTGGTAATGACTGTTTAATTGTGGTGGTCTCCTTAGCCAGTCCTTGTGGATAAGAATGAAGTGGGTTGTGTTAATGCTTCTGTTCAGCAAAAAACGTGGAACAGTTTGGGTAAAATGTTACATATTTACTTTAATTTATGTATCAGAAATAGCGAATTTAACTTCTTTGTTTGCATGTCACACACACTTAGAGGCAAATTTGGTCAGTGTGGTTTGAGCCAAGTGAAAAAGGGTAAGATATGCACTAGATTATCAAATTCTGACTAAAGGGATCGCAGAGGTAGGGATGTTACCAATGAAGCAGCAGAAGAAGTAGTTGCAACCAGACAGAATCTTGGATGTAGGTACACTAATTAGTGGAACGTCGTCAAATTCGCGATCCTGATTTCATTTATGATAAGCAATGTGTCCAAGATCATAACTGTGCATCCTGACAAAAATTTGTGTTATTTGGACAGGTGAAGGCATCTTGTAATGCAACGCCAACTCTCATCTACTGACACACTAACATTACATACCCCTACCATTAGCAACAAACACTATCACTAGTCGTGTTTCTAAGTTTTGTGTAAATCAAGTAAAATGTTAGAGGAAAGGAGAATGCAGAATCTCTTTAGAAACGCCTACGGCACTTTAAATGTAGTTTGTGTAGAGGAGCCTTCATTTACGTGATGCAAAAGTGAAATGGATGCGATGAATGAAGCATGCCAAGCAATGCAAATTTGATTGCGCACACATCCTGTGACCCCCTCATTACTAAGGAGATGGTTCAGTCAAAATAAACGAAGTGGGACAAAATCAAAGACTAACGCCTCTAAGTAGTTAACCCTCTTAATAACTCCTGAGTATGTCTGGCTCTGTCAGATGGTTGTCACCGTCATTGTTGTCTGCAGTCAGAACTGGATTCGTCGGAATCTCAGCAACTTAAAACAGAGAAATGTCTCATCTAGATCCGAATGTTCTCCTGTGGACGCATTTCGGTCATTACCGCTACTTATTTCCAAACGCTTTATCGTGCAAGCACCAGAGTTTGGTATTTTCTTCCTTCCTTTTTCTATTCTGCTAGTTTTATTATATTTTACGGCTATTTACACCTAAATTTTACCACTCACACTCCTGTAGTCGACTGACTTTTATAAAAGTAAAAGTGCTTTTAGAAGGCGAAAGTGGCTTTCGATTTAATGCTTTATTTTCAGTTCAGTTGCGCAACTTGTCACTCTGTTTTTTTAGCAGAAGCAAAAGAAAAACGGAAGAGGGAAATAGAATGGAAGTTGTTTAGTTTGCCGCAACTCTTCTGATCCCAATTATGCGGGGATTACATGATGCGGGCAATCTACATGTAGGTGTTCGACCAATGCTACAGATCAACAATAAGGCCAGCTTCACCAGCAAGATATACGCTGTCGTCCAAGTTCATTTTGAAAGACGGAAGCAAGAAGATAGAGTAGTAAATAGTTTGGATACACTAATGAGGTTATCATCGGGGTAATGGTTGCAATTCTACCACTTCGTTATGCTTGAGTGATGCATGATGTAGGAGTGTTCGACTGGCAGAATTGCTTGCCTGTGCCACGCACCTATCTAAACAACTTCGGAGCTTACAGTGGGTTGAACAAGTAGTGTGGCGGCAACGACAGGGAGGCAGTAATTTAGGCAAGACAACCGTAGCCTAGTACGTTGGATTGAGAAGAGTTACAAACACCAAAAATTAAACTATTGCAGTTTTCTTGTGGTCAGATATCTTTGTGATTCAGGTCTACTTGGCCCTTACGCCTTCTCTAATTACAATTACAACCTCCATAATTCTGCTCGATACGAATATCTTAAGAATTTTTTTATTGTCTGACTTGTCTAACCACCAAAAAAATAGCTAAAAGGTCTTATTGCTTAACAATTTTCCACCTTATCTGCTCACTGCTTTTAATAAATATCCTACCGATGATGTCACCTTGGCTTTTGTGAAAGAAAAGGGATACTTCAACACCTACAGCTGTAGTGCGCGCTGAGAATGGCGAGGCGCTGGGTGCAACATTATCTAATGCCAGAATCGGCGCTAAGCAGATCTTTTAGGTCGTTTGAAGCTGTACTTTTCACCTCCCACCACTTCCAACTCTACTAGGCCAAACCTACCTCAAGTTTTTGTGCCAAGTTTTGTGATTCCAGCAAAGCTTCGACAATGAACCTGCAGCAGTCTACCAAACTGACTGGATGGAGTTAGTCTAGCCCTCACACGCCCTGTGCGGATGTTATACTGATAATTAAAAGGCCGGGTAATAGGCGACGATCGGTTTACTACGCGTGGTAGGAAACGGCATTTTACGTGCTTAGCATCGAGCCCGTAAATAGGAAGAAGCCTAGCTTTAATTTCTAATTTGCATTATCTTCTTAAATGTCCATGTTGTAAATGAGCAATGGTTCGTGTGCATCATACAGTTTCTCATGAATAGCTTAATAGGACTTGTTTGTATAAGCCAATGGAATACAGTTGCATCATTTCAGATTTTGAATACTTGCACTGGGAATTGAGATGCTTTTTGGTCTCGCGCAAAACCCTTTTGATTGTACGAAACGTGAACAAAGTGGGCTGTGTTTCGTTGTCCGTGACCATCGTCTCCGCCAGTTTGTGTTGTCTGCAAGCATGAAGCAGCACTTGTGATGTTTTGGGACTCAGGGAAATCCACCGACACTACTCTTGACAAACTAATAAGGCATCCACTAAATCAAAGTAGATCGCACTAATGAGTAAATCTGTAAAATCGAGGTAAAGTCAGGCCCGTAAATAGTTAGGCTGAGTTTAGAAACCGTTAGGAGTTTATGTTCTTTGCTGCCTGTTAGATAATTTAGGATTGTCTTTCAAAATATTCGCATTTTCGTGAATAATTAATGAGAACAGTTTTATTAAGTTAGTCTGTTCTTAGTAAATAATACATTTAGAGCACTCAAATTTCACAATCATTTCAATTCTGCAAGAGGGTCTACAACGACAAGCGAAGCGCTACCAAGCCGAAACCAAAAGTGAGATTCCACACAGTGTTCGTTATTACAAGTGTATTAGCCTGTTCCGCTACACTTTTATTACTACCCCTTTATAAGAAACTTTGCTGGCATACAATGGATGCATTATCATCTTGTAGATTCCTTTTGTTTAGTCGCTTTTTTTCAATTTGCTAAACATTCCACTTTGTCTAGAATACACCTCGCAGAATGAAGTGGCATCGCAATTTTATATTATGATTGGAAAGCCTTGTTTTTATGACGTTGTTGTGAGTCATTGCCACTCAGTAGTCATGGCGTCGAAGATGTCATTTGCTTCAATTTAAGGCTACGGGTTCAGACCTCCTTTCACTTTTGATACAAAACAATGCTTCCGACCGACATATAGCACGACAGTGACATATATGAAGATCCGACATGTTTCGCTAGAATGGATGCGTAGATGGATGCAAAGGTGGACAGATAAATGGATGGATAAATAGACGGGATACACGGATGATCATCTGTGTGAATTAAGGAAAAGCTGCTGGGCAAACATTTCATAAGGGGCAGATAAGTTAGACGTAATTAAGAGTATGTTGTATAATAAATTTTTAAGTGCAACAGCCTTACGCTTTTTGTTGGTCCATTTTTTGAATGGTTAACTGATTGAAATTACTTTACTTGTAAAAGTTAAAAACGCGCCGTACTTAAGTGGAAGTCATAGAAGGAAGGGGATGAAACACTTGACCTCGTTCTCATCATAGAAGTGTCTCTTGTATTTGTCGCCTGAGCGCAAATGATGAAGCTTAGCCTCACGAAATTCCTACTACTTCAAGGGAGTGCAGTCAATGGAAAGCACCGCGTGGATAGTACGTCTGGTCCTTCAACGTAGACCAGGTGAGTGTAATAATTCGCAAAACTGTAAACTATTGTGCTTTGGATAATATCCAACAGACTTTGAATTATTCTGCAAAATACTGCAATGAAATTTGCATTTCTGACAAAGTATTGTCTTAAATGCAAAGCTTACCTCTTAATACCGGTATCAATAATTCTGCAAAGCACTACTTTCGCTTCAAATAGCAACTACTACATCCAGTCTTTTGCTCTTTGATAGCGAGGATGATCCTTTACCAACGTACTTCAATGCAACCCCATTAAATCCAGGGCTTGATACACTGATAAAATTACCGAACGACATATAACGGCCATGCGTATGCGTTCCTTATTTTGTCATACAAAGTCGACTTTACTTACAAAAGTGTCTCGTTGGCTCGCGACAGTGCTCCGAAGGTGAAAAAAGGCGTTTGCATCTGTAATATTGTACAAAATGTCGGCAATACTTGTAGTGGTTTAGTAATTTTAACATTTCTGTAAGAGCAGATATCGTCGCTTTACTAGTAGCATCACAATTATAGCTTACGTTTAGCCAGTTCTAGGCACAAAATGCCTTAAATAGATTTCTAAGTAGGGAAGGAAGTCGGGAGATAAGAATGAGGAGGAAAAGCAGTTTAGAGAATATTATGCTATAATTGTTTGTGATCACCTTATTCAAAATAAGGATACTTTTGTAACTCGTTTGTTTTTAATGCCTACTTAGGATGTTAGCTCATACGCACTTAGTTTGTTTACAATTACCACCAACGCAACAATACCAACTACTTCGTTAGCTCATAAAGGCGGTCATTTTAAACGCTGTAAGTTCAATTTTATAAAAGTCGCTTGCAAAGTCTACCGAATTGAGATCGTTAGTGATGACACATTTTCAGTAGCATGAAGTGCTAAGGACAGTGCCGCTACATTTTACTTTAATCAACAAATTAGAAAGGAGTATTAACACCACTTTCGCGAGGAGCAGTCACTTCAGAGTTCAATTTGGCCAACATTAATTTAGGGGTAAATATCTTGCAAATATTGAATGCAAAAAAATATTTGCTTGCACTAAATTACACAATGTTTGAAATATAAACCTCCAATTCCTGCTACAAGGTGCACGCACATTTACAACTCACCAGCAACCAATCAGGTAATTTGCTAAATGCCAGCCAATCAATGAGAGGCAATTTGCGATTCAGTTACCTCTGCCCTCATGCTCGCTCCTTTGATGTATGTGAACGAATTTACCTATTTTCCACTTTCTTTAGGCATGTTTTTTAGCAGTAATTCCCTTTCTTTATCTAATTCCATTCAGCTTCTGCATTTGATGTGTGGTTTGATTCGTCCTGCAATTATTTAGATTGCCAAAATAGATGTCATAAAGGAGTCTACATAAACCACTACATACATCCTCTCTTGCCTTGGCCTGAAGTAGTATGATTTCGAGGCCAAAATGCTCACCTCGGTAGAGGCATAAACGAAGGAACAGCAGTGAGCTCAGAGACACAAAAAAATTCATGAATAGTTCGTGTTGTATTTGCGGTAATTATCACATCAAGCACACCACATTTCTCCCACAGCCTTGTCGTGTTACCGTGGCTCCAGAAAATCCTCTACGCTAATCTCGCTACTCGCTATTTATCAGGATTACTTGAAAAACATTGGTTCCATCTGGGCGAAACTGCTTCATGATGGCTCCATAAAGGATTTTTGTTAACCCAGTTACCCCCAATTTATCCGCAATGACAGGAGAGAAACTGGCACAAAATTTAGTTCACCATCAATATAAGAAAGTCTTCACGTGCTCTGACCTACATAAAATGTAAGTCAGAAATCTAGTCCAGTGTTTCCCATCCCAAAGATATTGTGTGTTCTCTTTCCCCCTAGTTAACTTCAAATTTGAGCGCGGATGACCCATTTGCACCGGCGGACAATCGTGGAATGTTTCGGCACAGCGCATTCGTCTTCTTCTCACTTCACAAATTCTTAGTTCCGCTCAAATTAGTTACTCTTGAGCGTACGAGGATAAACCTTGTAAAACTAGTCGCCTACCAGGCTGCTATGAAACTCCAAAACTGCATTTCTCACTAGTCACTTCATTAACATTTCTTTGTAAACCACATCAACTGTTAAAGTAACTACATAATAAAGGTCTTTTTAAGGAGTAGTTGGATCGCCTGCCTACACCCACGCAATTGCTTTGTACAATGCCACGTCCATTTTGCATGCTCACTACCTGCCATCATACTCCTCCACTGAGATGAAGGCATCCCATAACACCTCCTTGTATACCCCTTACCAATTTCACAAAAACTGCCCAAAATATGAGTGGTTCGGAGGAGTTT